AACACAAAAAAACAATACAAGGTACCAACCAATACCAGGCTCGTTACCAGCCAGGGGCAGATTGCACCGTGGGGGAAAGAGCTGCTGACACGGCGAGGGAATGCACGCAAAAATAAAACAAGAGCAGGCGGTATCTGGTGCCCAAACAAGATATTTATTTCATCGGGCAATGGCTGAAGAAGGCACTGTGGTTGCTGAAGCGGGCGCTGTCGTGGCCGAAGTTGGGGCTGTTTTGACTGAAGTTGTGTCCCCTCTGGATTCGTCGACGTTCCTCCTAATGCCACGCATACAGGAGCTGTTACGATGTGCTTGTAGACACCAGGAACCGCAGACGGCGTGAGATTCGGAACTGTAGTGGCTGGGGGCGAGGGAGATCTTGATCGGCCCGGGGTCGTCGAGGAAGCGGACGATGTAGGGGTCAGCAGTCGGGGTGCGCCACGATACTTTATCCGATCACCAGAACGCGTCTTTTGCTTTGTACCAGAAGTAGGTTGCGACGGGTATGGCGGTGGCGCTGAAGCGGTGGATATAGGTGTCGTGCGTGACGTAGGCGTAGCCGGGTGCAGACGCACGTTCTCCTTTGGCGCGGGAAATTTCGCGAGCAGCCGCTCCGATGCGCTTGTTGCGGTAAAGACGGTTCTGTTAGCTGTGCTGATCCGGTGTGCCACACCAGTAGCGAAGGATGTGTTGACACGAGGGTTGTAGGTCGATTTCGCGTTCCCTGGAGGGTCGAAGCAAGTCTTTCTAGTGTGTTTGGTAGAGAGTGGCGAGTGCGCCGCCGCGTGTTCGAACACTTTGATGGCCAGTGATTTTCTCTACTTCAAGGCGTTGAAGAGGGGTGGAGATGTCATCCTCGGACACATGGTACGGAGGCTTTGTTGATGTAATTGTTGAGGACGTATCTTGTGAGGCCAGCAGGCAGGAAGCGGGGTATGTCAGTGTCGTGGGCGTGGTGGCAAGGCTTGCGGCGTACTACGGAGACGCGTGGTTAGGCGTTGGCGCCGGGCATGGCGTTGGGCAGATCTAAGTACAGGAGTTTGTCGGCAAGCGGTCGCCCATCCGGTGCCTTGTGGCTTGGGCCTACTGTAAGAATTTCGAAGGGCCCAGTCCAGTTCAAGGAGAGCTTGGCTTTGAGAACCTTCGAATCCGAAGCGGAGGCAGAGGCGGTGGTGGAAGGTCCTTGGCGAATTGTCGATGCCGAATTGTAGATCCAGACCGAATGTCCTGTCTTGTAGACGGGTCGGTGGTGAAGTGCATCCGAGAGTGACGAGTTCCTGCGCTCGATTTTGTCGACGTTGAGCGCGTGTTGCTCTCGGATGAGGTCGTATGAGCAACGTTGCCTGTACACAGCGAGGTCTTGGTATTCCAAGTTGGTCCTTAGCCAGGCTTTAGTGTCCGCGAGCGTAGATATTGTCAAAAAGGGTGATGGGGAAGCGAGCAAGACGGTCGATGTGCACTTGGTTGGGCGCTAGCTCTGAGGCGGCGCTTACGGTGTTGTTGTAGGCAAATTCCACATGCGGGAGGTGGAGATCCCAGTCATCTTGCCTCTCATTGACGGACACAGCTAGGCATTTAAGCCATTCTGTGGTTGACGAGTTCCACGCCGCCGTTGCCGCAAGGGTGACAGGCGCTGGTGGTGATTTTGCGCACGCGGGTAGTTTGATGGCGTCAGAAATGTTCGAGGTGAAGTGAAGACCATTGTCTGAAAGAAGGCTCACCGGACATCCAAGCGAGGAATGTATTAATTGACGAATATATTCGTGGTCCCTTCAGCCGTGTAGTTCGCAGGGGAGACAGCGTACATGTCGGCACGCCAGATAAAGCGGTCGATGAAGAGTAAGTAAGATGTAGGCGTTGCCGCGTGGAGAAGTAGGCAGTGGTTCAAAGTAGTCCACGCTGACGGTCACACCTGGCCCCTGATGGCAGGGTAATGGTGAGGGTGGGCTATCGTATAGTTTGTCGTGCTGATTTGCGGGCTTGGCATGTAACTAACGGGCGTAAGCGCTCATGCCAACCCACCAGTAGATTTGCTCTAGAAGACTGATGGTTGTGGCGGGGCCAAGGTGCCAGAGAGTGTTGGAGTGACATTGAAGCATTACCCAAGGACGCATGCGTTCCGGCACATACATGCGCGTGGGTTTATTGTCGAGAAGGCAAGCAGCTCTACCACTAGGACGATCTTGGTCGGATTTTGGCGGTTTGGTAAAGGGTCGAACCAAGAGCAGATTGCCGACGTCATCGGAGATGATGCGACCTTTGGTGGCCAATCCCTTGATGTCGGTAAGGGAAGGACGTAAGTGTAGTGGAGTGTCGCCAACGAAATGGTTGGGCAAGGCTGAAGGTTGCATGTGGCGTCCTTTTGTTGTTCCACGTGCCAGTCGGCGTGAGTAAAGTGGGCTACAGAGTCCATGAAGGATATCTCTGCCGGAGAAGGTAGTGGCGCTGGAAGTGACGAAGAAGCTGAAGTTGAGGAGTTCCCTGTGGGTTTTGCGTGGGCAGGTTCCTGTAGAGGGCGGTGCTACGGGAGCAGGGTTATTGGCGATTGGTACGGTGTGCACAAGCTCAGCGGTTGTCTGTGCAGGGGGCATAGGACTTGTTGTACGCGGCCTGCTTGGAGGTGCAGTAGGTCCTGGTGCAGCAATGGCAGAAATGTCTGGTCTGAAGCGGTGTAAGTCGCCATGCCCGATTCCTCTCTCGCACCCGTGTCTTATGTAAAATATAAACAAAAATAAAACATTAGTGCGGAAGGGCCTGCCAAAGATATCTGTATAAGACATGTTTGAATTCCTCACCAATGGACCGAGGATTCGGCGCTTTACACAAATTTGAGATGGAAAGATCGAGATAAAAATCGACATGATACCATCGAGATGAAAATCGAGATGAAAATCGGGATAAAACCTATGCCATACACGATTTCACACTTACTGTACCACATACTGCCCCACCCCGCCCTCGCCCCCTTGATTAATAAAATTGTCAATCGAGATGAAACTTTACCACCACACTACTAATACTAACACTGCGGTATCACACCCGCTCCCCTCGCGCGATGCATATAGAACCACATACTCGCGAAATTGAGAGCGAAGCATGAAATTGAGAGTGAGATTATTTATTGGAAGATAGAATATAACAGGCGTACGATTCCTGGAGAGCCAAATGTCTACTGCCTCTGAACCAGCCTCCCGCATGTAGTAACCAGCAGTTGAGCTATGTCATGGCGGTGTCAGAGGTAGGCAGAGCGATCAAGAACTTTGGTGGCGTCAGGAGAGAGGGTGCAGAGCAACGGGAAATGAAGCTACATGGTTCGGACATATTTGTGTCGCACGAGTGTGCATGTGTGTGCATGATGTGAGCATGGTTGTGAGCTGCATGCGGTCCGCCAGCCATCAAACGCCAGAAAAAAAACCAACGGCGGTGTGGGACGAATACACAGCAGCAGTAGGCATGGACATGTGACAGCACCAATCAGTATGACACACTGGCTGCAACCGTGTCATCCCAGATCATCAGGACACTGGTGTAGAAGGAATCTCTCTGGCAATACTGAGTCTTGGGTGTAGACGCGACAAGATGCGTGAGCTCTGGAGCGAGCTGACTGTGGCACAAATATGTTCGACATCACATCACACACATAAAAACACACACTCACCATGCAGGTCTCCAGCTGACAAAGCCAGGCTGAAGAAAAAAAGCAACGGCCGTGCGAGGCAAATACACAGGCATGGATGTGACAGCACCGGTATGACACAAAGACCGAACCATTTCATCTGAGATCACCAGGACACTGGTGTGATAAGGATGTCTCTGAGCGTGCCGAGTCTCGGGTGGAGACGCGAAGAGATGCCTGAGCTCTAGGTGCGAGAGTGTTGCGAAGAATGTAGCAAGAGCAAACAATTGCCGACGGACACATGTTGCATTTTCAATGCTCCACTGTCTACGTTTTCCAAAGGAATGTTCCGAATGGTTGAACCCTGCTTCCGATAAAAAAAATCAATATCTGGCCGATAATGCTTCGGAGTTTATTTGGTGATTTGAAAGGTGGTGTCAGCAAGGGTGTCGAAATGCGTTGAATTTTAAACGCAGCAAACGTTTTCATTGGCTTGCCTTTTCTGCTTGCATTCAACTGTGGACTCTTTGCACACCAGTGAATGTTGTTTGCGTGTTTAAATTGTTCATCCACCGAGACACTCTGTCCAAATAGCCACGTAAACGGTTTCCTATCTATATTGGCAAGAAGTCCAAATAGCGATATAAACGGTTTCCTATCTATATTGGCAAGAAGGAGGAACCCCTCTTGCCAAATAAGGCGCTACAAAGGGGTCATTTGGAAATATCGATACAATGACCGAAAGACCGACAGACTATGCATACATAATCATAGGGTCGAGATATTGTCGCACACATCAACCGGATGTATAAACACGCAAGACGGCAGAGAGAGTTAGTTGTGTTCCCGTGCAGCATCGACTAGAAGCAGATGGAAGCAAGCAAGATGATCTTCAAAAAGTTCACAACGAACGCATGATGCATCAACCTCTGGTAAATGTTGTAGGCAGTATACCTTCTCCTGCACGTATGTTGATATCAGCGCCGGCCACACACGCGACCATCATCATACGACACTACCCTGCCAAGAGACAACTCTTGGTGTACGTACTGACTGCACAGCAAGCAACACAACAACAGCAGTGTTTCTTTCGTTATTCAAACAGTTGATGATGATGTGCACAACAAAATCAGCGGGAAAACATTTTGTCGGTTTGGTTCCGGTGCTCGCACGCACCTACATAGATAGAAATCAGGCATCTCTTCGCGTCTCCACCCGAGACTCAGCACGCTCAGAGACATCCTTATCACACCAGTGTCCTGGTGATCTCAGATGAAATGGTTCGGCCTTTGTGTCATACCGGTGCTGTCACATCCATGCCTGTGTATTTGCCTCGCACGGCCGTTGCTTTTTTTCTTCAGCCTGGCTTTGTCAGCTGGAGACCTGCATGGTGAGTGTGTGTTTTTATGTGTGTGATGTGATGTCGAACATATTTGTGCCACAGTCAGCTCGCTCCAGAGCTCACGCATCTTGTCGCGTCTACACCCAAGACTCAGTATTGCCAGAGAGATTCCTTCTACACCAGTGTCCTGATGATCTGGGATGACACGGTTGCAGCCAGTGTGTCATACTGATTGGTGCTGTCACATGTCCATGCCTACTGCTGCTGTGTATTCGTCCCACACCGCCGTTGGTTTTTTTTCTGGCGTTTGATGGCTGGCGGACCGCATGCAGCTCACAACCATGCTCACATCATGCACACACATGCACACTCGTGCGACACAAATATGTCCGAACCATGTAGCTTCATTTCCCGTTGCTCTGCACCCTCTCTCCTGACGCCACCAAAGTTCTTGATCGCTCTGCCTACCTCTGACACCGCCATGACATAGCTCAACTGCTGGTTACTACATGCGGGAGGCTGGTTCAGAGGCAGTAGACATTTGGCTCTCCAGGAATCGTACGCCTGTTATATTCTATCTTCCAATAAATAATCTCACTCTCAATTTCATGCTTCGCTCTCAATTTCGCGAGTATGTTGTTATAGGTGAAACATGGTGTATATTGTTTTGGACAAGAAAAACACAGGCGCTCTTCGCGAACTGGGCCTGTAGACTATTGGATAAAGAATTTCGGCGCGAACTACTGCGGCGATATTTCGGTGATGACGTGGTGCCTGGTGGTGAACGGAGGTTTCATCCGGCGCAAGTTCAGCATGCCCTGTACGGCGCAGAATGACCCACGTCTGATACAACTGATTCGGCATGGCCGTGTCCGATCGTAGACATCGAGCTCGCCGATCCGTGCGATCCGTGTGACAGGGACTTCACGGACGCCGCGATGGAGAGCGAGCCAGACAGTTTCCCCGACCTGGACACATGGGTCCGCGAGACTCTCGGTGACCAAAGGCTGGATTTCCGCGGCGTCCGTCACATGTCCTCGATCTATGCAACCCCCACGCAGTTCTTCCAGCAAATGGTCGACGGCGACAAGTACGAGCTGATGGACGCCGACGGCTCTGGCACCACCTTGATGGAGAATGGGCGCATTCTGTGGACAGGCGGGTGCCAGTTCGAGGCGACGGTCGACAAGGTAAGCAAGCGTTGAGTGATAGATTTGCGCCCGAAACACACGAGATTAAATCGTAACTCCTGACGAATGACTATTGTAAACTGCGTTTTCATTTGTTACAGTAGACAACACCCACTTACATATTCTCCTCTTGTGGCCGTCGTCGAAAAAACAGAAACACTACGACTCCCCCCAGGGCCCGACGCGCTCTTTGGACGAGATGCTCGAAAACTTGAGGTCGGTTTTCTCTTCCACGGAAATCTCGGCGACTTCCTCGGCTTCTCCCACAGCTTCGTCTGGTTTTGAGAATGACACGGCTTCGATATCTCCCGTCCGTGTTACCACGGAGGAGGAGGCTCCCTCGACTTCTTCCGCGGCGTCTTCTGGTTCCGACGGTGTCATGTCCGTGGTTTCTCCTGACGGTGGCACCGCGGAGGATACGGAGTCCAACATCACATTCGGCAGGTTCGGCGACGCTCCTGCTTCGGTTCCCCTCCCGACCGTTCAACGCGCCGGCGCCACCAAGGAGGCGAAGAACGTGAAGCGCGCCACGAGGAGAAAGGCGGCTTTTCAGGCTCGTGTGGAAGCAGGACATGAGGCAGTCAAGTTGAACAATTTGGTACAGCTCTTTCACGTAAGCAATCGAGTTGAAACTATGCGTACAAACCCTTCTTCATGTACGATCGAGATGAAAATAGTGCTGGGGGTCATTTGTTTCGCGACCAATCTAGCTGAAAATATGCGTACGAAACCGTTCCCGCGTACAATCAAGATGAAAACACTGCCCACATGTGGTTGTCATTTTTTTCGCGACCAATCGAGATAAAATACTCGTACAAACCGTTTTTCGTGCACAATCGAGGTAAAAATATTTGTACGACGCTTCCCCACGAGTAGTCGAGCTGAAAATATTCGTACAAACCGTTCTCCCTGTATATTCGAGGTGAAAATGTTGCCTCGTGTGCTTATTATGTTTTCCACGACTAATCGAGCTGAAAATACTCGCGCAAGCCGTTCCCCATGTACAATCGATGTCAAATATTTGTTCAACGCTTTTCCACGAGCAATCGAGCTGAACATATGCGTAAAAATTGTTCCCCGCGTACAGTCGAGGTGAAAATACTGCCTTGAGTACAATCATTATGCGTTCCCGAATGCGTGTTCCACTTTCAATCGATACAAACTCCCTACTTGCCTTATACAGCCGGTTCCCGCGGGTCAGAGCGCGCCATCAGGAGGTAGACGTAAGCCTTCGAGGGTAACGGCAGGCATACCGTGGCGTTTCGACACACTGACATGGGGGTCAAACGGAAAGATGATCATGGCTCCTCTGGGAGCCAGAGAAGTCGCCGCCAGTGGCAGCGATAGCGGTAGCACGTCCAGCAGCAACGGTGGAGACGGTGGTGTGAGTGGCAACGACCGAGGTGTGGCCAGTGGTGGTGAGAGCAGCGGTGGTGACAACGTCGGCGACAGCGGCGGCGGTGGTGACAGCGGCAGCGGTGGTGACAGCGGCAGCGGTGGTGACAGCGGCAGCGACTCCAGCAGCAAGTCTAGCAGCGGGTCCTTGCAGTGCATAGGCGAAGAAATGTACGAGGTTGGTGGGCAACAGCATTTTCGCAGATAGATGTGAAAATCCAGTCAACGACCATTCCACCTTCTGCGTCAAACACGAGACTCCCAGTGTTGGTGGCGGCGGCGGCGGCAGCGGAGGGGATAGCGGTGGTGGAGGCAGCGACAGCGGCAGCGACAGCGGCAGCGACAGTGGCAGCGACAGTGACAGCGGCATCGTCTACGGTGGTGGTGGCTGTGGCAGCGACACCGACAGGGACTACGGCGGTGGTGGGGGCTAGCCCAAGCGCAAGGGCAGAGGCAAGCGCAAGGGCAAGGGCAACGGCAAGAGACAAGCTGGCAAAAACAGAAATGCAGCTCTCTACTCTTGGCTGGGTGCTACGACGGAGCCCAGGACTCCAGAAGAGGAGACATATGTCACCAATAGCCAGGAGAAAGCATGCCGGGCTGATGACGCGCGAGTCAAAAGCAAGAACGAGGTTCGATACGTGACAAAGAAGATGATCGAGGATGGGTTGCTTGAATGGTGTTCTTGTAAAACTGTCCCCTCTGCGCTATTCTTCCGGATGAAAAAGGATGACCCGGTGCTTGACGGAGTCGTCAAGGGTATATAATCACTGTGACGTCGCCCAAGAACGGTAAGGAAATGGTTGTTGATTTCGAGAGGGTGGGTGGGTACTGGGAGTATATCATCCGGTGGGGTCGCAAGGCAACGGTCGATGAAAAAATACAATACCCGATGTGCCGACGTGCTGACAGAGGCGGACGAGGGTACGGCCACCTCGCTCGATGAAACCTACCCGAGCATGGTCGACTACATGTGCGTAATGATGAACCTCGTCTACATCGACACCCACGAGGACGTGAAAGACGACGCGGATCGGAAAGTTGACAAGCACCAATTTATCACGTTGAAAAAGGGGAGGACTTTGCTCGGGCACGGAAGGTTAGAAAATTCGCCTGGGATCGCATGCAGAACATGAAAGCCGCCGATCCACTCACAGAACCGGACTTGCGTCTTTTGGGGAATGAACAGCTGGTGATGGAACTGCGCGACCCGAACATCTGCGACATGCTTCGTGTCAAGCAAGCCTTCAAGGGCCATCCCAGCGGAAAAGCTGGGCTGGTGCGGGATGACGACCAGGATTTCTGCGACCATCATCTGCAGGTGGCTAATCACCTTCTGAAGAAACTACAGGCGGCGTTTCGGGTGGGACGACGTCCGACGCGTGAGTCCGTGAACCTCACGCTCACGCTCGGAGAAGTCCCGCTGGGCGTGAACCTCCGCCCATGCGATATGCACGAGACGTCCGTTATGATTCTCCTGGAGGATAGGACAGAGTTAAGATACGGGTTGCCCATGAGGGCTCTGATCGCCAGGGCATCACGGGAGTCCGATGGTTGGTGCCATTTTTCGAAGTACTGTCCCGTCTTGAAGGTCCTCACCTTTACCCGACCGGACGAGCTTGGCCAAATGCAGGCCACCAGCGGGTCTCCAATTGATGTCGCCAAATGCCGGAAGTCGTGCAATTCCTTGAAGAATTTCTGGAACTCCACCAGGTCACCGACCCGGTATCACGACACGTCACTTTTGACGGAGGTGTTCAATGGGTACAAGAACAACGCTGCGAGGGTGGGGGTAGCCAGAAACCAACTCGAGAACTCGCTGAAGAAGAAGGGGCACGGCGTAAAGATTGCCAAGGGGAGGGCACCGCACATGTCACCGGACGAGTTGGCACGCACTGCCTTGATATGATCAATACTGTGGTCAGGCGCCACTCGTGCGGGGCCATCATGGAGGCGGTCGGAGAAGCTGGGGTATTGATGTGCCAAGATGTGCTCCTGGTTGATCCAAAGATCATCGGCAACACATCCAACGAGGATCTTTTCATGCCCGGAAAACACACGAAAAGAAGATCCGGAAAATAGTGAAGCGTCTCAAGAGCAAATTTGGCGCCGATGATGTGAGGTTTTTAAGTTAACGCGACTTGTGTTTGCTTCGTAGTGGTGGTGAAATGGTACCCAGAATAGTGCGCGATAGTCAATTTTACTTTTTTTAGTTGAAATAAAGGATTCTTTCTTCTCCCTTCTTCACCGCTCAGATCACCCTGTTCAGCTGGGGTCTGGCTGTGCTGGATGATATCTGGAACACATCTGTAGTCGGACGCAAGACCTACTCATGATTTTGGCACGTGAATGCTGACAGAATCGAGGAATACGACACGCACGGCAAACCTGTGGTGGTGACGGAGGCACTAGTTCCTCTGGAGAAAAAGACCACCAGGTCGGTACCGAACGAAGTCGTAGATATGTAGGACCCGGGTGTAATTGCATAGCATGTTTTCCGTGCTGGATTGTAGACATTTTTTGTCCGGGATTCAGCGTAGGACTACGTTATTTTGTCAACATATCACGACACCGACCGAATCGAACGCTACCCACTGGTCGCCCGTCACAGGTCCACAGAGAATAGCCCGGACGGCACATGTATCATACACTTCAAGACACCCGAGATGGAGAAGCAGTTGGCGCTGATGCTTGTTCTCCTTCGCGCGCTGATGCGGGGGCTACTTCCGGCAGGACAGCGGCTATGCGACGAGGTTGGCCCCTTTACCGCGAATGGCAGGCTATTCACCGACAGACAGCTGCGCGAGATTTTTCGGCACGTCGGGTGGAACGTTCTGGGAATCCCAATGTGGGGGTACAACATCGACCGCTCTCTTCAAGCCACGAACACTTGTAACGTGGCTTTTCAACTAGGCCAAGACGCCAACTCACCCCTCATGTGGTCTGTGCACTACCAGAGTCGCATGAGCAAAGACCAGATGAGCAGCAACTACAACCAGGCAAGCCACCGGGTGCAGAACTTGGACCGAAATTCTGCTTTCAGGCGGGGTTTGCGCGATCTCATCACGACCTTGCCAATATCTCTCCGCTATCCAGCAGGGGGATGAGCGAGATCATCACCAGGACGTTGCAAGTTGCCATTTGAGCAGAGGTGCACAATTTTGCGGTGTTTGCGCGTCTGTGACTTTGAGCGTGGTTCACGCCATCGCTCTGGAGAAAACGTTGAACCCAGAAAATGCGCTGGAATCTCGAGGACGATTGCTGCAATGTTCAACAAGGTTTGGGTGTGAATCATCTTCGCACCGGCATGGGGTTTCTCCGGCGTCTGAGCCAGGTGGAACCATGAAGCTTCGGGACAGGACGAAAATGTGCACCTCAATACACCTCAACGTTTGCACTAGCAGATTGCGAAGACTCAATAGAAACTACACTTCCAGACAGGGAACTGTCTGATGAAAATCACCTCCAATTCGACCCCTTGGTTGCCAGCCAGCAGACAGCAGCGTGGTGTAGACCATCACCCAACGCAGGTGCTTCACGCCCCCAATAAATACTAAACAAAGCACGTCATCCAACTGCCAAGCGCCAGCTAGGGCTACTCTTGACTCCGAGACACACCTATGCCATTGGGTCCTGATACCAGCAAGCCGCACCCCCTTCTGAGAACGTGCGCTCATGTGCGGTGAAATTGAAAAAGCGGCGCAACTAGATAGAGCACGAAGGTTCTGAAGACGAAACAGTCAATTGAAGGAGCCACTGCCGGTGTACACAAGTAGTCCATACCGGGCTACATACATGCGATACGCCCCACACCGTACTAACACCACTTGTCAGCTTGTGCAACAAAGTGGCTCGAACCTCCAACCTAAAAATGATCTGCCGGTTTGCAATCAGCCGTAGAAGCATAGTGAATTCAGTTGTTACCAATAACCACTTGCATAGCAGTTCAATTCAACATCGGCAAAAAACAATTAGCCGCGAAACACAGTCAATAATGCCGTACAGCAGTCGTAAAATGGTTCATAGGTGACCTGAAGATGAGCAGACTATGTTGCACACTTGACTACACCGTGGAACGTATGTACCAACACTTTAAAACAGGCAGCCCAGCATTTTGGAGAACAGAATCAACGGAATTTGTCATAGTGGTTATAACGCTATCGCCTAGGGTAGCTCACTCATGTGTTAGTGTAACAAGCACTGGCTAGGGTTCAATTAGTTTCATCCATTTCATGGTCAGTTTCATGGTATCTTACCATTGGATTCAAGTTGGGGGCTAGCAAAAGGGATACAATCCCGGTGGGTCTAGCCCTGTAGGTCTAATCAAGTGGGATTAGCAAGGGGGGTCTAGGCAAGATCTATCCAGATCTACCTCTCATGCTTTGACTCACAGACTGGTTGCTTCTTAGCGGGTGGGTCAAAGTTCCTCTTCCGAGATTGGCCGTGTTAACAGTGAGCGATCACCCAAAACACGTGTTGAGGCGGAGCTCTAGAGGGGCTCCGCCAATGATTCAGGTACACCCTGGGGTATACCCTAGCCCTCCTCAAACCATCGTGAAATGGAATGATTCTCAGTGTTTAGCGCCCGTTCATGCTACCGTGACACCCCCCCAGCATACATGTGTTGAAAAACACAAAATGCTAAGGAGGTAGCAGAACGTGCGCTTCTCCCTCCTCAGATCATACCACGCCGGGAATATAGATCTGAAAAGGGAAGATGCCGCCCTCCCCAGGTTAAACCACAAATAATGGATTTGAACCTCGAGAGGACGGATGCCGGTGTGTTCGACGTCGATGTTACATTGCTGAAATCATCGACCCCGAATGACGGCCGTTAGTACTTTGGCCGCCGTATACCGGAGTCCTTGACGACGACGATCTTGAACTGAAGAAGGTGATCGTCCACTGAAGAAGGTGATCTTCCACTGTTGAAGACGTTCTTCCACGAACAGTCTCCACAGACCGACGACTATGACGACGATCTTGCATCTTGACCGACGATCACCGACTGTTGAGGACGATCTTCCGCTGTAGAAGACGATCTTGGAACTCCTCAGGTGATCTTCCACTGTTGAAGACGTTCTTCCACGAACAGTCTCCACAGACCGACGACTATGACGACGATCTTGCATCTTGACCGACGATCACCGACTGTTGAGGACGATCTTCCGCTGTAGAAGACGATCTTGGAACTCCTCATTCGTGACACTGCCGTCACCCCCCCCCCAGCTTCCCGCATGGAGGACGGAAGATGGCAGGCAGTGTACGACTTCACGATTCTTGAGCGGTCAGCGGTGGGAGTCTCGTGGCAAGATCCATTCCACGCCTTATCTCCCTGCGATTGAGCTCTTCTCAATCCCACACGGGTTAGAATAAACGGCACTAGTGCTGTGAGCGCTGATTTGAAGTGAAGAACAAAAAAAAATCTCCGTCGCTGAACTCCACTCTCCAATACGGTTCATAGAAATCGCAGACCTTCCCTCTGCTGAGCACAATGTTGTTCTCTTGATCCATGAGCTCCCGTCCAACCATGGTTCCACAGGGAAATTCCGCGAGAGCTTCGGTCGGCGTTGCTACTTCGCGTTCTCCTCGCGACGGCGGTCCCGGGGGTCGTGGTGCGATATTCACCCCGTGAAAGTCTTCCCACAGGGCATGAAAAACATCAAGTTGCAGAGGCGAGAAACTGTCCCTGGCAGTGTCTTCGGTGATCCACGGAGAAGTGGTGTTATCCTGATAGTTTCCTCTCTATACTCCCATGCCGATGCGGACGCTATTCCTCCAGCGCCCTGGACCACCCGTCTATTCACCAAAGTATACAGAGGTGCCGCGACGACGGAGTCTTCAGTTAACCCTAAATCCGGCGACCATACAAAATGTCCAAACTCATCTTCGAATGGATGTCTGATGTCTTGTGGTCGAGAATGAAACGGCTTGAAGTCCGTGGCTGCCACCGTCCTCTGGCGGATTTGACGTCCATGCAGTCTTACAGTAAAACTCAACCCCTCTCGCACGACGTGCACGACTTGCCACGGTCCTGTGAAGTGGTCATGGGCAAGTTTAGGGCGGACGCCATCCCGGTAGAGTGTACTGGCGCTCTCCTTGACCAATACCTTGTCGCCCACCTTAGCCTTGGTGCCAGGTGATGCACGTTTGATCCTCGCGTTCTGGAGTTCGCGGTGTCTGTTCCGATTTTCCTGTCTCACTTTTAGCACTTGCATCACTTCCACAGTCTTCCTTCTCGTTTCCCCCACCGTCCTTTCCAACGGCAATGCTGGGCCCGAGTTGTCTAGTGATTGCGACATGTGATCAAATGATGTCCTTGGCGCCCGTCCAAAGAGCAGTTGGTATGCTGACTCTTGTTTGGAAGGCTCTCATCCGGCGTCGTACGATGGGCCCAAGCGACCACTGCCACATACTCATCCCACCTGTTCGGCCATGCCTGGCTGAGCTCCGACAGCATCTCTTGCAGCACCGCTCCCATCCTCTCGACTGTTCCCTGTCCTCTAGGATGGTTGGTTGGTCCAAAGTCGAGGGATATTTTGAGCCACCGGCACAGGTGTTCCATGATCACCGACTGCTGTGTCAGGACTGACCCTGCCGCTATCAAGCTGGCATCCGTATGTGGCGTGAAGGGTTCCAGCCAATTAGGTAGTACCGGCACTGGGTATGTGGCCAGTTTCTCCACGAGTTTCATATATGCCTCAATTTGTGGAGGCCCCATGACGACTCGTTTGTTACGGGCTCGTTTAGAACTGAATTCCTTGTTCCTCAGGATGTCCAATAGTGGAGCGGCGATGGCGCTAAAGTTGGGTACGAATCCCCTCAAATAGTTGGCTAGTCCAAGGAAGGACCTCAACTCTCCCACCGTCGACGGCACTTCCATTTCTTGCACGGCTGTTACCTTCGATG